CTACGAAAACATCATGGCCGACATGGTTGGAAGACACGCCACGGCAGCCAAGGAACAATACTCCGCCCGTGAGGAATTCGAAATCAAGTTACGCAATGCGACCGAGTCCGGCGAGTTGGGACAGGAATATACCTTATTCACGGAGTATCTTGACTGGGAGCTCAAACAAAGTCGTCGGAAACGGCAATTGAGCAATTTTGAGTTCGTCAAGTCGATCTACCAGCGCGCGGTTCTTCGTTTCCCGACCGATTGCCACATGTGGGAGGATTTCATCATGTACCTTGTCAACGAATCGATGCACGGCAACACCAAAACTGCGACGATAGCCACCTTGGACCGTGCGACTCGCCACTGTCCCGGTTCCGGTACCCTCTGGTCGCAATATCTGTTAAGCTCCGAGCGCGAAGGACAGTCCTTTGCGAAGATCGCGGATATCAAGCACAAAGCGACCAGCACCGGTTTGCTAGATGTTGGGGGCATGGAGGAAGTGCTCAAAGTGCATACCGCTTGGTGCAGTTATCTGCGTCGACAGGCCTTCCTGTCTGACTCGACCGACGAAGATATCGACGTGGCGGAGGTTGGAATCCGATCTGCCATTGAAAGCGTTCAGGAGCTTGGCGAGAAGAAATACGGGCGGAACTACCAAGGGGACCCTTTGTTCCGCCTGGAACGGATCTACATCCGCTATCTTAGCGAAAGCGGCAGCTGGGATAGTGCCCGAGAGACTTTCAAGGGCCTTGTCGGTCGGCGCGGTAACAGCTACGAGTTCTGGCTGACTTACTACGAGTGGGAGCTCATCTCCTGGAGCAAGTTTGTGCAGGGAGAAGCCACCATTGACGCCGCCCGGCGGACACCCAACCCCAGCTACGCCACCGCCGTTCTGAAGCAGGCCATCAAGCGGACAGATTTGGATTGGCCCGAGAAGATCATGCAGGTCTATGTCGCTCACTGCGAGGATTACGAAGACTCGGATGAGCTGCAGCTGGCGATCCTCGAAACCCGCAAGGCGATGAGGGCCATCACAGCCCGGCGCGAGCGGGACGCAAGGGAGGCGGCCGCGCGGCAGGCAGAGCAACAAGCCGCAGCCATCGAGCAGGCGACACAAGTCGAAAAGAGGAAGCGGGAAGACGAGGTTGTCGTGAACGGAGCAGCACCTGCCAAACGGGCCCGTGCAGAAGAGTCCACCCCGTCTGTTCTCGTGACGCCTGAACCTGTTGCGCTTCAACGTGATCGCGAGAATGCGACCGTGGTCGTCAAGCAGTTGCCTCGTGGCATTACGGAACATAAAGTCCGGCAGTTCTTTCGCCATGTAAGTACACTGCCCGTCTGCAGAGTCGTGCAGCGCGTAGCTAATGTGTCGGCAGTGCGGTACGATCAACAGCCTGAAAATGTTTTCTGCTCCAAATGGGAATTCGGAAACCGCCATCATAGAATTTAACAACCGAGATGAAGCCGTCGTCGCGCAGACCCGCGATCAGAAGATGATCGATGGACAAGCCATCGAGGTTCAATTCGGGTCAGGGTCTACACTCTTTGTCACCAATTTCCCCCCCACTGCGGATGAACAGTATATTCGTGATTTGTTCCGTGAGGTGACTTCCCCTTCCGTGTGTAGTCAGGGAGCCCACATTGCTAACCTACTGCAGCACGGAGAAATCATTGACATCCGCTTCCCGTCTCTTAAGTATAACACGCATCGGCGATTCTGTTACGTGCAATTCAAGACGTCTGGAGAAGCCTACAGCGCCACCCAACTAGACGGGTCTACAGTCGGCAATGGCCTTCATCTGGTCGCTAAGATTTCTGATCCCACTCGCAAACAAGACCGGCATGGTCCGATGTACGAAGGACGCGAGATTCATGTGAGCAACCTGGACTGGAAGGCTAGCGAACAAGACGTGGAGGAGCTGTTCTTGCGGTTCGGCACCGTTGAACAGGTGCGCATTCCTCGCAAGGTGGACGGAGGCAGCAAAGGTTTCTGTTATATTGTCTTCGCTTCCAAGGTACGTTTGTGTGAACCTACCTACTATTGCATCCCGCTGATTATGTTTGCAGGAGGAAGCCGAGGCAGCTTTGGTAATGCACGAACAAGAGTACCGGTCCCGGCCTTTGCAAGTGAAGTTGTCCACGCCACAGGGGGCAAAACGGAGTGCCACAACAATTCTGTCTCGCGTGTCAGCCTCGCGATCTCCGTCGGTTGAAGCCAACGGAACTGGAGAGGAGGTTTCCAGCAGTGATCGGGCCGCGCGTACTCTGGGTTTGATGAACGTTCCCGACACGGTCAACGATGCACGGATTCGCGCCCTAGTCGAGCCGTACGGCAAGCTGATCAAGATCATCCTTCGGCCAGACCACCAAGGAGCGATCGTCGAGTTCGCTGACATTCATGCTGCCGGAAAAGCCTCGCTGGAATTGGAAGGACAGGAGATTGCTCCCGGCCGGAGATTGCACGTGGGAAGCGTACCGGAAATGCTGAAGCAGTCGGCAGAGAAGAGAGGCCACTCGAGCACCGCCGGCAGCAAGGCGACTACTGAGAAGTCGGGGGCGAGACTCCAACCGACTGGACCGATCAAACGGCCACCGCAGCCTGGGGCGCGCGGAGGCAAGCGCGGTCACCTGGGTGTGAAGCGAGCCACCGGTGGGTTGCAGGGGCAGAGCCACGCGCAGAATGGCGCGCCTACGACCAACACCACGACGACGACGACGATGACGAACAACACAGACAGCTCCGCCCCGGATGACGGACCAAAAATGAAAAAGAGCAATGATGACTTTCGTGCGATGATCCAGCAGAGTCGAGCGGAATGAAAGCGTCCGACGCACTGGATTGCATTGGCGGGTTTGGCGTTACCTCTCTCTCTCTCTCTCTCTCTTTCTCTCCGCTTGCTGATGACCTGGATTTTCTCTTTCTCTCTCTTCCATTCTACATCCCCACCTTTGATGTGTTTTTCTACCATAACTTGTCACCGAGGCGGTGCTGACTCTGTCTTATTTTTCTTTTTTAATATTCTTGCTGGTTGGCCGTGTATTATCATGGACTTTGCTTCGGTCATGGAATCCCCAGCCTCATGTCGGATGTAGATTATTCTGTATCTTTCTTATGATTCTTCTTTTTTCTTTCATCTTGATGCCGTGGGTTCTTTCTGTCTTCGGGCCAGAAGGTTATACTTTTCTTCTCCCCCACCGTGAGATAGGCGATGGAATGATGAGCACGAGTCCAGAGGATGGAGATGGGCACCCTCCCACGTGATTTGATGGGACAAATTCTGTTTCCTTGTAGATTGTAGATTTGTAAATTTGTAGATTTGTAGATTGTCCTTAGGGCATGGTCGAATCTCTGATTTATACTCCAGCATATATCAGGTCAAGGATAGGTAGAGACATAGCTACATGGTTACATGCGTGTCACCGTGCGTGACCCGAACGCAACTGTGTGAATGCGCCGGGCGGAGAAGAACTTGGATCTTGGAACTTACTGGTGGTTGTGTGTACAAGGTATCGGATTGCTTGATTCGGATCCTTGCAGCTTATCTGCTCCCATTATCTTATGGGGGACTGGATCGATGTCGAATCGGCATTACGGAAAGGATACCAACCAACGGAGACGGGTAAAGGGGTCAGGTAGGTTGCATGTATAGCACAGTAGAGTAGATGGAGTATTTCTTATTGCTTGGATGGAGGGGAGGGGAGGGAAGAATTCCAAGGATGGACTTGAACTACGTTACCGAGTCCGAGTGTCTCGTAAACAAGCTCTGTTCATCTGAGCTTTCTACCTCCCCCTTGCTGCTTGCTGCGCCGAACCCTGGTACAGGTTTGGTGGTTTAATGGGTGGGTGAGTGGGTTGGTGGGCGATTAGAGGGGCGAGAGGAATTGCTAGAGAGAAGGAAACTTGGTGCTGGTTGCTTGGTTGCTTGGTCTATACATACAGTGGACTGTAAACAGTAGTTAACTACAGTCCCCGCCAGTCCTGGTGGTAGACGCTTGGACCTCCCCTCCCACCTTGAGGCGGTGGGTGGTGGTGGTGGTGGTGGTGGGGGTGGAATGTTGCAACTATAAGATTTTCTCAAGCTTGGGTGGGTTGTTTTGCGAGGAACAGACATACTGCTTAAGAATGCGTTCTGATGGATGATGATGATGGAGAATGGTGGATGGATCATCCGGGAGTCAAGTCAAGGTTGGACTGTACTGGGGTTCATGATGATCATAAACTGTCCTGTTCTGTACGGTACTTGTACTTGTTGCCTGGAGGGGGAAGAGGTCATGTCATACTATACTCGGTCTGTTTCCGGACGGGGGATGATGAGGTGAGGTATTTTTTTCTGGGCTGGCATGCGGTTTGTTGATTGAGGTGAAGGAGGGGGGGAGCGGATATTTGAAGTGTCATGCTCTCTCCTTTTTACCTTTTGCTTCAGAATGAATTCCGGGCCTTTTTTTTGGGCGGGTTGTGGAGGGAATTGAGTTGCATTTCAATTGAATTGGATTGAATGGAATTGATTGACTTACTTCCATTGGGATTTAGATTAAGAGAGAGCCTCACCTGACCGACCGACCGGCCGGCCGTCTGTCTGGCCCTTTCCTGATCAGCTCATCCATAGTCCTTCCTACCCATCTTTCCACCACCTTCTTCCATTTTTCGCTGCAACAGACCCCTCCGTCCTTTCGACTGAGTGAGTGAGTGAGTGACTGACTGACCTTTGGATTCTTCTCGCATTCCTCTCCCCCCTCTCTACCACTTGATAAACTCTCCCTCATCCCTGTGGTTAGTGTCGGGTTGTCTGACTTATTGTTCCTCCATTACTTCCGCTGTTTCGCTGCCACTCCCGTCTTATCGGCTCGTGCTGTGTCGTCATCGTCGTATCATTTCATCCCCATCCAGTAGAACATACCTGACCAGCACCGACCAGCACCGACCAGCAATCCCTCCGCCGTTCGCAATCTCTTCCGTTCGTTAGACCTGCGACGATAACTACACCCCCCCAAGAAATCCCCCCGGCGCCAGGATGGATTTTCATCTAGTGCCTCGCGGGGAAGATCGCAACTATACCGGGTTCCTTACCAAAACAATTGTCTACACCGGTTCCTTAATATTATTCTTAGCCTGTACGTTCTCTCTACCACGCCCCCTTCTGTTCCTTGTTCGCGCACATCGCAGCCCGAAACTAATATGGCCACCATCTACAGCCTTCGGTTTAACCATCTCCTCGATCGCCATTCCCAGATGGGCTAGCTATGATTCGGTCCGTTTTGCCACTTCCATTTCCCCTCGATGTTGGCCTGTTGGGGGTTTTGCTGGGAGGATACCATTATTTCTGTTGGATTGATTTATCGATCCAAATTCAAGGGACAAGGACTAACGCGATGACGGCATACAGCCCGCCTTCCACTACTCCTACGGCCTCCACCGCCGCTGCTCCTCCGTCGAGGGCACCTGCTGGAGCTTCCCGCAGCGCGAAGACTGCCACGGCGAGGACCGGTACTTCTGTTCGATGTGGCGCTCCGTCGGGTTCCTGATGTCGTTCGCCGTGGTGCTGGAGGGCATGAGCCTGGTCGCATTCCTGATCGTGTTGTCCGGCGGGAAGCGCTTGCGCGAGTCCGGGTGGAAGGTTTTGAGCTTGTTCATTCTGTTATCTGCGATTGTGCAGGCGGCGAGTATGGCGATTGTGGTGAGTTCTTTGTCTTTGGTTAGGGTGGTGGTGGTGGTGCTAACCGTTCCCGAACGACAGGCGTACCTGTTCGACAACGAGAAACGCTTCTTCCCTGGTTGGGTCCTTTCCCAATCCTGGATTTTCTGTACCGTCAGCTGGTGCGTGAGTCTCTTCTGCGCTGCGGCGTTGATCATTGCGGCGTATACGTTGCCGTCGGAGGGTGGATACGAGTTGATTCCGGACCATTCGTTTTGAGGGTTGGATGTCGGGAGGCGAGGGGGGAGCTTGTTGGGGTTCTAATGCGATGTGATGTGATGATACGATACGATAATGACTTGACTCCCTTCGGTCTTATTTATATGGCGTTGGTGGATGATTGACTATGAATTTGTGGGGAATTTTTTCTCTCTCTTGTTCGCTTTATTGCCTATAGTTTACTTTGTCGGATGCTGCATCTGGTTTATAGGTACCTAGTCGGCAGTGGTAGTGATAATGCGGTTAGAGAATATACACGTTAATACTTTAGCCAGGTACACTATCCAACGGATTTTGTGTAGGTGTGATCTGAGTTACTGATATACTGATAGAAATGTGGCAGCTTATGCCGCGATCTTTGTTTGCTGCTACTACTAAGTTGTTGAATGCTAAGCGGCAGATACCCGCGACACCTTGCTGAGATATCATGGTTGGGTGTACATCAGAAGCTCACGACATATGAAAAAAACAAACACAGCTCTCGTCATTGAATCCAGACTCATAGGACAGGGGACTGCGGAATCGAGCTCACATATGATCGCAAGCAATTTGACCCATACAAATGAGAATGAGAACAGTGGGCATGATTTTGGAGGATTCGAGCTGACGACTGACCGGCTTTCTCGATCCGAGCCAAAGGAAAGAAGCACAGATCGACCGGCAGATGCTGAAGCATTGACAGGACGACCATCCCGCCCTCCCGAGTCTCTCTCCACCTTCCTTCCCCTTCACACTCATATCATTCGGGGAAGGCGTTCAGGTGGCACGACAAACCCCACGAACCACCCAAGGCCCATTATACCTGTATCCAAGGAAATCACCTCCAAACCGGCAAGATCTCCACATCCGGAAACTCCCCCGCGGCGACATTCCTGGCCCTCAACTCCAACAACCACTCCCGAATCTCCCCTCCCACCAGCGCCTGCGTCTCCTCATACGACCACACCTCTTCGTTATCTCTGGAGGTAATCCGCTCGACCAACCACCCCGGCACTACCGGCGCACCCACCGGCGGACTTGGACTTGGCCTGGGGGAATGCTGCTGCTGCCGCAGCCGCAGCTGCACCCGAAACCCCACCAGGTCCGGCAGCGTGCGCAGGCGCTGCAGCATCTGCCCCACCCAGAAGCACTGCGTCAGCGCCCAGGTGTCGCGCTCCCGGTACCGCGCCCGCTGGTAGTGCTTCCGGCAGTAGTAGCAGCACCAGAGTGTGGCGGGGATCTGTTTGGTCGAGTGCTTGTTGCGGCCGAAGATGTGCGAGATCAGTTTCCGGTAGTGTTGCGGGTGGCCTGGGGTGGTGGTGGTGCAGGTGCGGGTGTAGGCGCATCTTATGGGGTTTGAAGGGGGGTTGGGGCTGGGGTTGG